TATTTTGGTTGGAAAATTTAGTCAGTAGAGATACCACTCTTTAACGAGAATCAAAACTAGTCACATTGGGTGAAAAATATAAATCATGTTAAAGACCCATTATACGTACACTATAGTTCCATTCTTGTTAACAATCCATATTATTAACATTTTCCACTACATCTCATTTGTATTCAACTTCAGTCCAGTATGGAATGCTATAATTTTGGTTATCAATCCCCATCATTTACATGTTGCTATGGTCATCCATGTTCGCATGAAGTTCTCCGGTGGGGAAAGCCAGCAATTAAGAAATCTCAACAATTCTACAAAATTACAGGTTATGTTCTTAAGAAAACAAATAAACAAGCAAACAAAACACAAGTTAATTGAAATATTGTGGTATGGGTAGGTAAGTGGGTAGATATGAATGAGTATTTCAAACTACAGTTAGGGGAGGTGGGGTATAACGTTGTAGGAAAGCTTAATTTAATTGTGTAGATGGAATATGACCCCTGAATGGAAGGTCGAAAGAAGCTAAAATGTTTTTGTTGTGCACCAGTTCATTAAGTGGATGTTATACATGTTCCAAGAGACTGTAATTAGCCGACAAGTGTTTCATATCAGATTTTGAAAAAATGAAAGTATATTTACACCTAAACACTTTGGACAGGGGCAAATGATATGACTGTTATTTGCCATGCCGAAGTTTCGACACATTACATTTTTTCCGATCTACATCTTCATGAAACCGAACGACGTAACAATCATTTGAGGCACGTTTGGGTCAAATCGGATTCCTTTTTCCATTTAGTGGAGGCATCAGCGGAAGTGTACCACTTGAATGGGCTTGAATCATTTCGGGTAGGGAAAATCTTAAGTACCTCTGATGGAATTGCCTAAAATAATTATTCAAAGACCCCATCTTTAGGTATTGGAAATCGAGTATATAAATATATATACATCGCAGTATATAATAATTTTTGTTTTCATTTTAAAAATATCCCATAGTCGTACACATTTAGTGACAATGACTGCTCAAACAATAAACGAAAGCCTTCGCTTGTTGCAGATCCCAAAAATAACAAAAAAACGAAGATTGCAAGAACAAACAAATAAATTGTCCTCCATTTTGTTGACATTGATGTCCTTAAGTCCTTATTTCTTTCAGATTGTCCTTAATGTAGTTATTTCTAGTATGGTATTGTTTTGTATTTTACTACATTTTTCCTCTTCAATTATTTCTTGAAACAGATAAGCCTAAAATGACATTTGACCAAGAAACATTGGTTGGAAGCCACGCCGCAGTAATGAACAGCACATTAGTAACCCATTAAGGAAGCCAAAACAACAACAACAACAACACGAAGCAAATGAAATGAACATTGAACAGTATTTTCTATCCATTACAAATACAATACAATAAAATAATATTTCAATTCAAGCAAACCATGGCCAAATATGACGCCCTCTTCTGCTGCTGTTTAAATGAGGAAAATTGTGTCTTAAGAATTTAAAGGACCAGACTAAATATAACTGAAAAGTAAGTACTAAAAACAAAAGATGATATAGTTGGCAATGACGAACATATGTCACGCTACAAGAACTAGGAGATGCAATTTTAGTATCATTGTTTGTCTATTAGAGTCAGAGTCCAGGAGAGAATATGTGTTCCTAATGCCGCAGTAGGAAGTAACAAGAGAGATATTGGATAATATATTTTCTGATTGTCTTGATACACTGGCTCCGACCTCAAACCGGCCCCATAACCTTACATAAACCCCACGAATTTCCACGACTATCGTCGTTTTATTTCTTTTTTTTTTACAAATCAAACAACAAACCTAAAATTTCTTCGAAAGAAGGAAACAGGCCAACAAATAATTGTGATATTTCTATGAACTTGAGTTCGAAGGGTGATAATGGTGAATTCGTGTCGGTGTCGGTGTAGGTGTGTGTTTGTGTTTTTATTTCATTCAGAAACATTGAAGAAAACAAGAACACTTTACTGTAACAAATTGTAGAACAAGTAGCGAAATTGCCATTTGGCATCATGCCTTGGCTATGTTCATGGCTTTGATTCCTTGTATTTTTTTCTGCTGTACGGCATGTTCTCTGTGTCGTTAAGGTTCATAGCAACGTTCAAATGTAATTTAGGTGACACGGGGGTTGCAATAACTACAACAACAACATCGTGTCCTTTAACCACAAAGAGATACTTGGTGTGTTAAATTTGTAATTTATTAATCATTACATTTACAAAATAAAATCATAATGATATAAAAACACAACAAGAACAACAACGTTACATATATACGTTTTTATTATGTCAGATTTATATCAACCGCAATAATTTGGTTTGGCAGTTGGTGGCGTATGAGAAATATCATTGTGTGTGGTGGGGTAATCATCATACTCAACATGGTGTGAAGTCACATCAGAACACCGACATGGCCCACTAAAAAAGTCACACAAGAGCTCTGAGACATCCCGATTATCGTGTCGTTTTTAAAAATGAATAATTTCAATGCAATTTCAAGTTGAGACGGTCGATGCTGCATTGCCGATTTTAATTTTTAGCATGCATAGTGCTTTTCTTCAACACAATTCGTTAAAAGTAATATACTGAGAAGAGAATATTGTTACTGGAGACATTGTGTTCATAGATGTTTGTCCTCGTCGTGACTGATCCTCTGTGTAAATGATCCTTGCAGGCAGTCGCAGTTAAATCATATGTACATAATGTTGGTACCACCTCTATGTGTCAGACCGGTAATTTGCCTTTCGCTGTTTAATAAAATATCCTCGGAGGTACTACGATTTGTCAAAGTGATTTTCTTAGCAAACTTCTTAACGATTATCTGATTTTCGGTGTGTATATTTTGTAGCGCATCCTAAACATACTCCAATTTTGGGATTCTAATGGTATAACGATCTTTTCTAAATTCTGGATAAATGAAGCTCTAGCTTTTTGGTGTAATGTATTTAACCAAAACCACGTAAACAAATTCGGGTTTCGAATATAATACTCAAAGTAGATCCGGTATAACTAAACGACTCAAATTCTAGTATTTATACCCTACACAACTATGTTGTTAAGTATACCGATCGTCATATCTCGACCCTCTGGTCGCTCCAGAGGCCGCAATAATGGCCAAAACATATTGACATTTTGCCTGGAGAAGGGTATCGGACCAAAGAATAAGCATGCTGGTTTTGATAAAGATCGGTCAATATTTAGCGGGTCAATTCGAGTCGATCTATAGAACACAAATGAAAGCCGAACATCACAACACAACCAACGGTGAAGGGAATCTGGACAATATATGTATTGAATACTCGTAATATTCGGAAAATATGTCAGTGTGAGGAGGAGGTGCTGTTTACCTCTAATCTGGCAAGAGGGTGCAAATATCACGAAATATTTCCCAGGCTCGGAATAAACATCCGCAGAAAAAATTTGAGTTCCGTGGTAGTTGTGTAGGGTATAGTATGGTCGGCCCCGTCCGATTATACTGCTCCGATCACTGGTTTTTATTTATTTTGGGGACCAGATATTTTATTAATATAAAATCACACTTTGGCTTTCGTGTATAGAAACGGTGTCTCCTTGCTGCTGTGTATGATGTGTGGACTCCCTTCATGCGGTATTTTTTACAGGCGACTGTATGAGACTCAACGCCATGACTAAAACTAAAAAGGAAAATTAGCAAAAAGATAGTGATAGCAGCAATAGATGAAATTATACAACACTTGTTCTAACGTAAGGTTATGTAAAATCTACAAATATGCTCTTCATATTTTTAATTTCAATATAAACTTTAACACCCCTTTTGTTAATAAATCATATTACTACATATGCATTTTGATCAGAAACCCTCAATTTCGAACTTAAAGCATTCGTCTGATCAAATTTCTATTTACTACATCCATTTCTATATCTTTCACAATTGAGACACAAATAAGTATTAAAATAAAAACAAAAAAAGAAATTAAATCGATTCCAAGTAAGTTATTCCAACCCAATAAAGATGCATAAAGGCGATGAAGAGAACCAGCCTGAACATCTCCATACTACAAAGATATCAAAGGACAACGAATAAAAGAAATACAATCGTGGTTTTATTGTAATGGTTTTATTAAAAATTTCATAAATTCAATATTTTTTCCTTGTTTTATTTTCCCCGAAGTATCGTAACACAGCAATGATGTTTCTTTTGTTGTTCTATACTTTTGTTTTTATTTTATTTGGTGTGCATTATTTATTATTCATATACAAAACAATACATATATAGGGTAAGGATAGTTGTTCTCCGAACACACACCACTTTCTGTTTTGGGGCCATGCTTAAGGAACACGAACATACAAAGCCCAAATGCATTAGTATGAATCGACCGTTACGTTTCATTCCGTTCCAGATATGAATGTATATTTCTACTGGTGCGCTTTATGCAAGCAACTACTTGGTATAGGATTTTTGAGATGAAAATAGAACAGAGGCGCTGAAGCTGAATATTTAAGCCATAAACTGTTATAGTGTTTGTCATTAATTCAATTTGTTGAAACTATATAATTTCTCTTTTCCGAACTACGCCACTGCTTCCAGGATAGTGCTGTATTTGTCCATAATAGAGAGTTTATTTGTTTAAGAGCTATTGAAAGTCCTTTCTTGTTTCATAAATATTTAACAACTACCAACAAACACTGAGTGATTCTTAGCATTGAATAAAAATATTATAAACCGAACAAAAAACCCAAAAATTTACAAATAAGCCGACCAAACAAAGAGAATAACATTAGCAAATAAACAAAAAAGGGAACGAACACAGAAACGATTAACATATTTGAAATGGATATAAAATTGCCTTCGTATGAACGGCAAAGGACTGTGCTCAACTTTCAGAGTAAAGTAAATGTGATAAAACGAAATCCCTAAAAAGGAAAGAAGGAAACAAAAAAACAACCAAAAGAAATTTGAAATATTCCGAATAATATTTACAAATGTTCTGTTTACCTTATTTTATTCGTTTGATGGTGCTCCTGTTGTTGCTGTTGTTAGTATTGTTATTGGTATTGTTGTTGATGATGTTGTTGTATATTGTTGCCACATTCGATGATGCATAATCTCTAAGGATAAAATGAGGCCACTGACCAAGATTCCAAACATCAAAACCAAAAGAGCAGATGTAAATGTTTGCATATCGACCTGGGGATATTTGTTGAATGTTTTTTTTTTTTTTTGTAAATATTTATTGATAACACACTCGAGAAATATTATTGAAGAAATTAGCAAATGTTTGCAATGCCCATTGGCATCACATGGTGCATATTTAGCAAATATGAAATAATTGTAATAAAATGTGAGGGAATGATTTGCAACTTATCCACAACATGAAATGGTATGTGACTTTCACTTCAGTGGTAAACACTATTAGGATCTTTAAAACCCCCATAAATGGATCGAATCGCATAAGTCCATATATGCGAGGTGGCGATTATTTAAGATAACAAAATTACAGCCTGAACGGTTCAAAACCCAACTAGGACATATGAATGCTACGTAAGAATTTATTTTAATAATAATCACAAATTTAATATAGGTTCCATTTAGGGGTAGAGGGAATATGAACGATGCGTTTTCTCCCAATGATGAGAAAGGAGTTATCAAAAAGAAAGGAGTGGTAACCTAAATCATTATAATAATTACTCGCATCCAAAGTAAGGCATACATTTTCTAATTGTATAGCTTCTCTTAACCTTATTTATGCCAATCACAAAAAAAAATCAAATGGTAAGGACTAACTTTCAAAACCAATTGTTCTCCCATTGAATCAAACCTACCTGTAGATCATCGGTGTGCAACTGTTTAACACATCGGGGTTTTGGGGAATGCCAAATTTTACGCTCATAATCCATCAAACCGACTTCCGTGACACGTCTTAAGCTGATCACAAAAAATATTATTACTTCGCTAAACCGTAATATCAAATTACAACAACTAATTACCCATATGTTATAGGTTTACGCAATGGTGAACCCTTCTGAACAATGCTAACCATTTTCTGTGGTGGAAATAGTTGAATCTCCGTTAAATCACAAATTTCTTTTTCCGTAAATGTATCGGCCATGATTTTATATGCCGTGGCAACATCAACATGGAAGGCGAAATCTAAAAAACAAAATGTATTTCACTTTCATTTTTTTTAAATTTTTCTAACACTACTTACGCCCTTTCTTGATTTTTGCCACACCAAATTCGGGTTCATACCAATTCGAAGCCTCATTGGTCTTGGCATGGGCACCAGTCTCATGACTATGTAAAATATCTCGATAGGCTTTGGCTTTTTGGGCCTCTGTCATCGGTGTTAGAGATGTGGGTAGTATAACATTATCGGGCGGGGCATCTACAAAACCGGTACCATCTGCCGCTGGCATGCTGGTAACTTTTTTGGCATACAACTCCTGGGCATCGGGATCTTTGGTGCGCTATATTTAAGATTCGTTATTTTCTTCAGAAATACGAATTTATTTCCTTACCAAAAAATAATCCCTGTTATAGACAATATCCTCAATGCCAATTTCCAATGAGGAATGTATTAAATCCCTTAATGTCCTTATGGTTTTGGGCTTCTCCATTAGCAAGGTGCCCACAATACTGGCCGAATAGAATTGATAAATGGCAAAAGAAAATAACAACGATGTTGTTACAATGCAACGACCCGAAAATGATCGTGTGGAAAAAGATAAACCTTTTTTTGGGGGGAATGACATAATTTAAAAGCAATAGTTGTTTACTATATCAGCTAAGACCTTACCCTGCTGACATATGGAACCCACATAAAATAAAATCGACTCCAAAAACATGCCAACCCTTTGTGTTGCCGAATTATCATCTCGTATGTCATAGCCGCAAAGTAAACCACCCCATCGCACCAGACGGCGTTTAAAACTACCATGTGGAAATGATTTAGTCGGTATGACCGCTGTTTACGGCGAAATGATTTATTGTAATACATGTATTTGGTATATCACGACACTTACCTGAAACTGGACGCCCACCATCAGTTTCGAGCGTTGTCAACAGCCACAAGAGTAGAATGGTGGCCACACCACAGCCGGCCAACAAAATCCAGACATCATTTGAGAAGGGTTGCAAAAATACAATGCGATCCTTTTTAGTGCTGCGTGGATGTCGAAATATGAAACAAGGTCTGCAAGTAAACGAATAGAAATAAATTCTCAGATATCCTCATCAAGTACTAATGAGTTTACTGTAATGCATTTAAAATTATTATTAAATTTAAGGTACTCGGAGAAAGTACGGAGGTGTCCTAATAAAAAACCGCGATTTGTAGCTCAAGTAGGAAAATTTTTTTACAAATTACTTTTAGATATAGAATGGATAGATCAAACGGAATAGTTAAATACATTGTTGCTGGGTCTAGTCATCGTTCAAAATAAACTATTCTTCTGATCTATTTAGTTATCAGATAGATCATATGTAATATCTTTCTGGCCATCTCGCTTTTTAATAGGAATGTCTTATACTTTTCTATAGTTGCAGATGTTGAAACTGTTTATAAGCAGTCAAAAACGTGAAACATGTTCGATCTGGTCGAGTTTAGTCAAAATATTGCCACCTTAATGTAATAATGTATGCATTTATTCTACTTGGTCTTTTGCCACTTGAGATCCGAAGTACCCAATTAAATAAGATAATTATGTCAAAATATGAGCCTTGTAATCAACCAGTTCTTTGACATGGTATTTTACTCTCTGAAAACGCAAAATGCCATATTGCAGATATTTCGGTTGGAAAATACCATAAAACTTTCAAAATGCTTATAATAAGGCGTTGGCCTTTTTTAAAAACGTGGACGTTTATATCGGGGTTTTAATATAAAATATGCTGCCTAAAGTTTTAGTACTCTTGTCTAAATAGATTTTTAATCGTATAATGAATATGTGCACTTTATGGGGACTTCGACTTCAAGGTGTTCTATACATAACGACAAAATCAATATAGTATCTATCGGGGAAATATGCATCTTTGCAAATATATCAACATTATATCATGCTTATATATGGCTAGAACTCCTACTCTTCTATGGGAAGGCCTCCTCCTGCTCTTTTATCTGAAGACCTCCGCTGCACTTCTAGAGGAAGACAATCTGCTCCTCAATAGGAAATACTTCTGCCGTTCAAGAGGAAACCCTCCTGCTCACTCCTTTGGAATGTTTTCTATTTATTCATAAAAAATATATTTTTTTTTTCTTAAATTCTCTTTTTGTCAATATTCTATATTAAACTTACCTAGCCACCCATGTTCTGGTGGTATAATCAATCACTTTGGCACGTTCTATGCGAAAGAATATGGGTGATCCGCCAATATCCGCTTGTTTGCGAACCAATGCACCAATCATGCCATCAAATTTACCATTCTTTAAATAACCCCAGGTGGCGGTTTTGGACAAAACGAAACTGCATATAAAGCACAAAGAAACAACAACATCACCACGACCAAGAAAACAATATCGGTAGAACATAATAAATGATTTGTTTAGCTTTCGTCTGGAATACATAACATGAAATATGTGCAGTGAGGTGGAAACCAGCTACACCAGTAATAACATTCAAGGGTCATTTAATGCAATATCGATGAGATGTCTCACCATGTGAAGCATTAAATGTCTAATATCCTTTAAAAGCAATGGAAGAAGTAGAAGGATACAAAAACTCCGGGATATTGCCTGCCTGGCTGGCACTGTGACTTAAATGAAATATTATTTTCCATGTCGACAACACAGGTGAAAATCTGATTGTGGTTTTCAGGATTTTCTTTTGCTACGCCACAAAAGATGTTTATATCGATAGGTGATGGTAGAACAATAACAACAACTACAAAAGAACATTCAACAGCAGCAACAACAAACACAATGCATTATGTGAAAATTATAATTGATGACTTTTAAATTGAGGTTTTTGTTGTTGTACTTCTCTCCATTTTGAAGTTGAAGATGTTGTGCAGCTGCTCCAGGAGAAGAAGAAGATAAATGAATTGATGAATGCCAGAGTGCATGAGAACCTCTACAACAATTTTCCGTTTATAACACACATTGAATAATTCAATGGAATTCTGATTCGTAAGAATACTGTGATTGAAATATCAATTCGTCGTAGACGTACCTGAAATTGAATAAATCTCGAACATGTGATAATAATGCGAAATTAAATCGATTCATTGAATCCAAGTGTGTATCGGTGTGACTTATTAAATAGTCATGCAATGATTCGGAATTGTTTTTGTGGGTAACCTGCAAAGAACGAAAGGAGGAAATACAGATATTTTTATGCATAAACAATTGGCGATGGTTTAATACTTACCACAACCAGACAACGTATGCGAGCCAACTTCATATCCATTCTGCGCATTATGAACGATGATCCTCTATACCATTTGGCTAGATCCAATCCATTTTTCATAGAAAACACACCAATTTCGGAGGTGTTCAATTGTCCACCATACTGACGACCAGGGTTCCTAAACAAGGGATAATTCATTAAATGCTTGTAACTTGGCTTTTGGTAGGTGTTGAATCTTTTTCTATATATAAGCAATGTACTCTGTGGGAACATCTATTATTAGAAATTGTGTGAGAAGTGTGAATGGACTGTAGAACATCTAATAGAAGAGAGAACTTACGAGAATATACGTTCATGCGGTCTATGTAATACCGTCTGGCCTCCTATAGGTAAACCATTGCAGATTTAACTAAAATACCTTCTATCCTAGAGGAAGACTTTTTGGCCTCCTAGAGGAATACCTTTCGATATGCTGCAGGAAAGAAATTATAGGAAATCCTTATTTTCCCCTATATTAAGCACTTCTTGTCATCAATACAAAGACATTTGGATCATTTATAGGAAGATTATCTAGTATCCTCTAGGAAGGTCTTCTTCCTCAAGAAACAATTTATATAAAGGCCTTCTGGTCTTATTCAACGAAGTTATTGCCTTCCATGTGAGGACCGTCCGATTTATGTTTAAAGTACTTCTCATATTCTATAAGTGAACATAAAATGAACTTTTTCATTTACAGGTAGAATTTACCATATTTCTGATCCGCTATGGAAAGTCATTGTGGTCTATTATGGAAAGACCTTTTGGTTTTCTATTTTATGTCCATATTGTGTTTGAGTATTTTATAAGGAGACTTTGTTTACTACTGTGGAATATCTATAAATATTACTTTTCTTCTATGATATTCAATACGTAGACTTTCTGATGGGAAGATGTTTGGTCTTCTAGAAAAGTCATTTTGGTCTTCTATAGAAAAATCTTCGTACGATCTTTTAGGGAAACTTTTCCATTATCCATTGTATGACTTCTCATATTTTGTATTAAGACCTTCTGATAATCTATATGAAGACCTAACCTGTGAGTAGGATTCCCCCTTCTTACCTCTTATGATTATCTTCTGGTCTTCAATGGGAAATCTGCAAAAATGTTCTGGTCTTCCATATGGAGACTGTAGTAATTTTAGGAATGTATTCTAGTATTCATTTAGCCGGTATTAGATTGGACGTACTTTTGATCTTACGTAATGGCCTTGTGGTTTTCTATACGAGGATATATTTTTTGTATTTTTAAAGAAAGTCTTACATTTAGTCTCCTTTCCTTCTATCAAATATTCAATACCCTGAACTTCTAATCTTTCACAAGAAGACGTTTTGGTCTTCTAGGAATGTTATTCGGGTCTATTTTCGGACAAGTTTTTAGGGAAACTTTACTTTTTTCATTGTATGAATTTTCATTTTTTGTATGGAGCCCTTCTGACCATCTATAATAAAATAATATTGTCTTTCATAGGAAGACCTACTCGCCCTCTGTAGGATTCCCCCTCATTATACCCTACGAATTATCTTTTGCTCTCTATTGGAAAATCTGGCTTGCCTTCAATAGGAACAAATTTTGGTATTCTTTATGAAAAGGTTGTGGTCTTTCTTAGGGAGACTTTGTAGTACTTTTAATAATATATTATAGTCTAGATTCATACATTATATCGGTATTAGATTGGACGAACTTTTATTGTTATTATAGATGGATTTCCTATCATTTATGATAACGAAGATATTCTAGAAAGTTCTGTTGTTTTTTTATAGAGTAATTTTTTCAATTTTCTGTAGGAAGAATTTCTGGTCTTCGAAGAAAGTCACTTCTAATACAATCTGTACAGAAGGAATTTGTTTGAAATATAAACTATGTTCAAGCACTAATTCGCCATCCTGCACCAGTATTCAAGACAACGACATATTTTAAATTTTTACTATGTACATTCTTCTGTACAAGTACCTACATCGAAAGGAACCCTCTCTGCTCTGTTTATTTTTCCTCACACCCATTCACGTTCGCCAATCGATAACTTTCTCTACACACTTAGACAATATTAAACAGCAACAATAAGCCTAGACCAACAAGCAAAACTTACCAAACATCGTATAATATGTAGTAATCCATCTTTTGTAGTGTTTCATAGTCTTCACCAACAGGAGGGGAGGATGAGGTGGTATCGACACTATCTGCTACTGACGGCATAACAATAGATTGCGATTCACTCTTAGAGGTGGTGTCAGAATCAGTTATGGCAGCAGGAACTGTTGCCGTGGTTGTTGATTCAGTATCCGCAGGGGTTGTTGCTGCTTCTTCTGTTGCAACTGGTGTTGTTAGCGTAATGCTACGCACACGTCTCTTTGCCAATATTAACTCAGTATTTATATTGATGTTGAGTTTTTCAAGAAAATTTTCAATATTCTCCATTTCATCATCGGCAGCAGCACCAGTCGCATCATCATCGTTTGTTTTTCTTGTTCCCCTGCCCGTTTTGTTGTCACTGTTCATCTTGTTTTTCATATCATCCGCATCATTGATTTCAGTTTGCCCATTAAATGTATAATCCTCTATCAACAGCCAGTGATACAAGGAGTTAAAAAGAGCTTTATTGGAGGCCTGATGATAATGTTGTAAGTGTTCCAGTGCAGTCCAGCCCAAACAACGCCCGTTCCCAAACCAGTCATAGTCATCCGTAGTCCATCGAACGGATGGCAGTGATGATATCGATAACATCATCATACAAATATAACGACGATTCATTGATCCAGACACGTAGAAGAGAAAAACAAACAGAAAAAGGAAAAATGAGGAAAAATAGCGTTAAAGCATCGCATTATCAGATACAAACATCATTAGTGCGCTTTTGATAACAATTTGTGAATTTAAAGGCATAGCGAAAATTGAGCCATTCCATAAATGGACATTCCAATGAAATTGAAACCATACAAATTATAAATTTATTTTTTAATGCTTTATATCTTTGTTTGTGGATATGACAGATAATTTTAAAGATGACATGTACGCAGTCAAATCGAATAATGAATCTTTTTGTAACATATATCCTGCTCCTATTTCGAGTCCATTAGCGACTTTTTTGTGAAATATATATAGAGGCCAAGCATGTCTTCTTGTTGTGTTTATTTTGCGGTTGAAGAAAGTAAGGACGAAAACGACACACAAGGCCTCGAGATAGAAGGAGGATAGGTTTTATATTCCTCATTCGATTTTACTGAAGACATCCAATTTATCCACCCCCAGACAATGAGCTCGAATTTATGTCACAGTGTCTTGATCAGTGCTTACTCACTTTGCAGATGAGAGCAGTAGATATGTATGTGAAATAATAAAAAGCTCTTTCTTAAATTTTGCAAGCCACATCATTTCAACATATCCACCAGTTATTTGCTGGTGTTGCAAAAGCAATGACTATATCAATTTTTCCTCTCTTTTATGGCGGAGGATATAAAAATTGGCAATTGATTTGCCTGTAATTCCTAGAGAGTAATTCACCTTATATATTTATATCTACAGACTGTTTTCAAGTAGGGTTACAAATATTCTTACCCAAATGTAACCAACCTTATGAATTTAAATCATTCCTGGACTGTTCATAACTGCCCCATTTTGAAAAAAATACAATATATGTTTTACAAATTTAACTTACCGTTTCAAGAAGTTTACGACTTGCAGGACCACATGAAAGATCAACAACAACAAGTTGATAAAAATGTTCAGGACGTAAAACTTGATCCAACCAATTTGGATTGGATACAGTACTACGTGTATTCGAACCTGGACCACTTCGTGTATTTGTTCTGTCAAAACGAGCTCTTTGATTGACGGGGCCAGCATCTGTACGCTTCTTCGGAATTAAATGATCAATTAGTATTACTTTCAAAATCATGCCTTTATAATTTGATGGATCTGAAGATTTTTCAATGAATAAGTGTTCCAACAGCTGTGCCGTTTCCTTGTTACGTTGAATTTGTCGACGATATAATTCCTGGGGAGTTTTATCATTATTCGCACTTGCTGTACCTTTACATGTGAATAAATTAATGCGGCTTATTTTCTTGTGACGTAATGCAAATTGACGTATTAATTTTGCCTGGAACTGTATCTTCGTATCAATGGTTATTGTATTTTGATTCATGGCCTTTTTGTTTTCATTTTCATCGCTGGCAATTTCCACATCCTTATAACAGTCCATTCTGGTTTTATTGTCCATGCACTCAATGGCGATATTTGGCTCCCCAGGGACAGTTGCATTATTGTTCTCATTTAATTGATCAACATTATCAGCAGGCTTCTCCGCTGGCGATAACGAGGTCTTTAATAAATTCTTGGGTTCTTGTTGTTGTTGATGTTCGCTTTGTTCCTGCTGCATGTCTTTGGTCACAACAGCAACATTTTCCAATAATTTATCGTTGAGATTCTCATTAATGTGGTCATAAATCAAAGTGTTGTTATTATTTCTCTTCTCAGCAGTGGTCATTGTAGATCTTTTGTTGCTCTCCACCAACTTCTCCTCTTCTTTTGTCATATTGGTATTCAACACAACGCCATCAATAACATCAGCATCACCAGCTGGAGCTGGAGCATATGTGGCAGCGGAGTCACCATAAACACCATGTTGCCATTTTAATGTCAATATTAATATTAAAAATAGCAATTTTATTTCGTTATTAAAATATTTATGCATTGTTTGCAACATCATAAATTTAAACGGCACCTCACAAGTCACGTTTCACGGTTATTTGAAGAATTCTCTTGGCTTTGTTTATGACCTGTTTTTCTGGCCATTCGCTTCAATGTTATCGCTGCAACTGAATGCCTTTTATGTGCTCTTCATCAATTTAAGACCGGATCCACAAAACAAAACACCGAAAACACACACACACACACCCATCCGCACAACGGAAATGTTTCCCACACCATGTTTCATGTCTTTCCTGTCACAACACATTGACAGAAATGTCACTGGAAGTAATGCCAAGTTATCGCTGTCCTTTTTAAGGATAATTGAAAAATTTTGCATAATAAATATTGCCATAGATGATGGCGACTTTTCTCCGTTTGCCTTCCACAGGAAGGCAGTTGAACATCATGTTACGATTCGATACGATACAAGGCAATTTGTTAGAACGTTTTTGACTTTAACCCCCTTGAAATCGACATTAACCACTGCCCATCGAGTTCTGTGATTTATTATTTCCGCTATTATCGACTTTTTTGATTATGACATTATAAATCAACAATCTTAAATTCAATTGAATTGAATTTCATTGACCATTTTATTGGAAGAAATATGTCAAGTTTTTTTCTTTTTACTGGTCGTCGTTTTTCTTTCTTTTGTGTTATGAAATTCCCATATCATAATTTGTGACAGCCTGTCACAATGTCATTGAAACCCATATTAAAATTGCATTAAACTTGAACGATGCAATAGAGCTATGGAGATTTTTTTTTCACTTTTGATTTTGAATGTGAAACATGTGCCAGGAAGATGTCGAGGACAATAGAATATAAAGGTAGTAATAATATGTAAAAGTCAAATAGATATTTGGTCATTCAGTGTGGCATGGTTATATGTGTGGAAGTAAGTGTATTTTTAGGGACAATATTTTTATGAAGGAATTATCCTTTATTATACTATTATCCGAGTCAATATGATTTATAATTTATCTGTATAACGAAGTAAATATAGGTATTCTATAGAAAGACTACCACAGGTTTTATATAGATAACAAAATTTTACTGTGTTTCAGTAATTATATGGAGAACTGTCTACAGGCCTTCTATACAAAGGATTACATATTTTATTCTTTAGCACTTCTGTGGTATTCTTAAAACTGTCGACATCCTACAGGTTTTGTATAAACAGAAAACCATTTCAGAAAACCTTCCGGAGGACTTAAATGTCCTCTACGTCTAGACGATTATACATGTATTTTATCAACAGAGGACTTATAACAAATAGATGACCTTTATACATATCAATATACAAAAGACTTCCGACTGCAGTTCTAATTTTCAGAATATCTCCGAATAGAGAATTTTCTAAAAAAAAACATAGCTTTCGGGGATATAAAAATAAAAAATTTTAATAATAAAGCTTAGATTTTATAAAAAAAAAACTATTTTCTATATATAAAACCAGGGCATAGCCTTCGGATCTCATAAAGTACAAATATTTATGATCAAAATGAAATCAAGACACCATCACAGTATTTAAAACAGTTCGGTCCATGTATTGAAGGCATTAATGCAGAATACCTTTAATAATGGTCCATATTTTGACTGTCATGTGCTAATGTTTTTAAATATTATATATGTCTTGTATACCTAATGGGTACAGGGATCAGACACAGGTCTATCTAATAATCGACCATTTTAGTCAAGACTTTTTTATGTAAAACATTCTGAAAGCAAAAAAATAAGTATTCCCTTCCCACGAGTAAAAAATTTACCAGCTATGATATGATGTGTGTTATCATTGTAAACATTTGCATAGCATTCTTTAAGGGAGGAAAAAGAAAATATGTTTCCCCCATCTCTTACACTTCAATAAATTGTTTACCAAACAAATTGTTTTATTTGTTTGTTATGACACCTTTGGGGAGTTATACGAACTTTTATTGTCGATCTTCTTGCCTTGCTTGCCTTGGACTTCCCACAGTCTTGTGGATTTCAGTTTCTATTCAATTGTATACACCGATTACATATCCTTCCCATTTTATTGTGGGTAATTGTTAATAACCCACACAGGAAAGCTGTGGGGAAATCTTCCCCATATTCGTTATCCCAACAATGACTCCAAAACACCCTCTCTCTCGTGCGCCTTCAAAGGATTATCACAATTGAAGTGTAAACTTCCTTTGTTTGTTTGTTTGCAGCCTTTAGGGCAATGTTCTCAAATGTGTTTAGGTAGGTTAAGACGACTAAGTTATACGGAATCTCTAGAGATGATGATACGCATATGTAGCTCTTTTCTTGTGCCACAGAAGTACTCGCATTGTGTAAATTGGCCACATATAGGCAAATGGATGTTGAATAGACAAAACCTAAATTGAATTAAAGTAGTGGAGTTTGCAAATAAATTTGTTCAAATGTAGGTAACCGTTTTGGTATTCTATGTTTCCACTCAAAAAAAAAACATGGTTAAGATATCATTGAATAAAACATTTCATTGGTTGCCACTTCTGCCGCCACTGCTGATTGAATTTTGTAATAATTTAGGCACCCGACAAATGAGCATCGAATACGTATTTATGTTCATTCATTCATTTGCGGTCGCTTGGAGACTTGCCATTTTTTATCCTTCTCTCACTTTCGTTTGAATGAAACCTGCAAAAACCCTGTACACACTAACGCACACACACACATACTATATCTACATATTTCCATTGAAACAATGATATGTAGTTGAGGCGGAAAAAATAAATGATTTCCCAAGTGAACCGTTTATTTTGTAACGAAGAGAAAAATCATCAGAATGCTAGGCATAACCATAATAATGTTTTTATACATACGTACGCACAATATATGTGACTGTCAATATTTTGTGAATGTGTTTAAAACATTTATTAATGTAATATTAATATTTTTAAATGCATTGCGATTATTGTTAAAATAAAAAAAGAACACAAAACAAAATGATCTTGATTGACATGACTATTAAATTTATTGATTGGAATAATTGGAAACCCAAAGGAAAAACCCGTAAGGAAAGTTCAAAAGTCGAACGGAGTCGACTATATGATACCCTTCATCACTTTGGATACATACAAGAGATGCTAATATATACAATATCCTGTAGATAGAACAGCCGTCTAATCTTTAGAGGACCATTGAAATGGAATGGGGCGAAAATAAATGTGTGATCTACATAGATATGTGAACCAAGTAAAAAACTCAATGCACATACCATTCCGAAATATATGGAAAATTGTATGGACACATTTTGCGAGATTGGTGCACAATTTACCTAAAAACGGACGAAACTGTATATATGTGAGCTATTTCTTAATCTGAACCGATTTTCTTCACTTTCAATAGGGTTCGTCCTTGGGCCATTTGTTTGACCCAAGGGCTGTGCCAAATTTCATCAAAATCGGATCATAAATGCGGCCTGTACTTTGCTCACAAAAATGCATGGACGGACGGACATGAAACTACATATGGGAGCAATATCTAAATCTGAACCGATTTTCTTCAATTTCAATAGGATTCGTCCATAGGCCAAACAAATGGGCTGTGCCAAATTTCATCCAAATCGGATCAAAAATGCGACCTGTACTTTGCTCACAAAAATACATGGACGGTCAGACGAACGGACGGACATGCATAAATCGACTCAGAAAGTGATTCTATGCATATTCTCAAAAGGAACCATGTGTCTATCTCGATTCCTTTTGCCTAAGATGAGATTTGTTATTTCACTAAAATAGGCCTCAACACCGTTTGTATGGAAGATATACCAAAACGTAAACCGATATTGATCATTTTTTGTAGGAAGATTTGAAACCATGTGTAACTGAAATATCAAGCCAATATCGCTCATTTTTTGGTTTTTTTCCTTGATGAGAATCCATAATATTAAATTACAGAATACCCGTGCCCAAACTCTACAAAATATTTTAATTTGGGATATACTGAAGGGTTACTGTTACTCCAAAAAATATACCGTAGTTCAAAATTTCAAAGCCCTAGCTTAAATAATGCAATCTGTATATTGTTTTCAAATGCAGGTAAAATCCACTGGGTTCTATGTTAATATAAATCAATTCTCTCAAAAATTATATTCAATGCTAGATTTTCTAATACCGCAAACTACTTTGTACTACATTTCGGAGGATGGGATGTAATGAATTTCGGTACAACAAAAACGAACTCATCGAATTCTCATGAAATCATTTCATGAAACCAAACATGAAACCAAATTCCAACAGTGATTGAATAAAAAAATTAAATTTCAATCGCTGTAGTTTTTTGGGACAGAGAGAACATTATCCAACCGAGATGCACAAAAGGCATCATTTCTTAAATTTGTTAACCTGGGTTCAGTTAGGTTCATTCACAGAAATTTGAGTTTCATTTGTTCATATTTCAAAAACAAAAATACATACCACAAAGTATTGTCCGTTAAAATACAAAACCTTTAAATCATTAAAATGAAGGAAACTAAATTCATCATTCATCCCAAGGCAGAAACATTAAATCTCTATGTCTTGGCGAAACTTTGTGGTCATATTAAGTAACATTTACCATTTAGGTTGTCAGTCCTTATGTTGCCACAAAATGTTTTTTTTTTTTATTTCCCAAAAACAAAAAAGGAAAAGCACAAACAATTCTCCAACTTATGCATGAGCCGGGGTATGTTTTCTCCATATCCCAGCTTAACCCCAAAGGCCTATCTCCCTCCCCAAAAATTCTATGAAATGGAATACAATTTTTCATTTTATGCCAGTAGTTTGTGTCACTTTGTTTCACTTCATATGTGTGTTTGTAATTTGCCTTTCTTTCAGAAAGCTTGTTATTATTGCCCACATTACTTAAACCTAAAATGTGGCTATTATACCAGAGAAATATCTTGCCACAGCATGGAACCCAAAAAGGATTATTGCATCAAAATGTATTTAACACAAAAATATGTAAAAACCATAAACATTTTTTGGGGATTTAACACTCCTGGCATTTCAACAAAAAGGCCTTTCTAACCGGACAGCTTAC